AAAAAATTTTCTATAAAATTTGAAAAGTAAATTTATTAAATTTAAAAGCATTAAAATTTTCATAATTATTGAAATATAATATTATATTCGCTTTGTGTTCAAAGAAATTTATTCAATATGTATTTAATTACAATCAATACAATATATATAACAATATTAAAAATAATATTACATGAAAAATTTTCTAGATAATGTAAATATATTTGACATACGATGTAATAATATTAATTTTTATATAAATATATTTCGATAAATATATTTTAATTATTAATATGATGAATTAATATATTTAATTATATTATATATTTAATTGAAAATAATTAATATATTTAATTAAAATTATTTTTTATTAAATTTGATTCTACTACATAATTATATAATTATATAAATGCAGTATATTAAATATTAAATTATTATATATTATGATATAATAAAGACAGGCAAAATGTAATATAATATTTTACGAAATTATATGTTATGTTTCTAAAATATGAATTAATATAATGAATATATAATATATAATGAATTAATAAAAAAAATGAAAATTATTCTACAATTTATTGAATTTATTATAATGAAATGAATAAATGAAGATATAATTAATATATGTGCAAAGATCCTCATTTGCTAAGCTTTCGAAAGAAAATTTTTTATGATACAATAATTGATAACTACTGATAGTAATAGCAATCTGTAACAATAAGTTATACAGTATATATGTAAAACATATATAAAATAAATCTTCGAGTTTACAATAATTATATAATGATTATTTAAATAAATATAAAATAAAAAATAAAATTAAAATATTAAATTGATTTTATCATAATTTTATTAATTTAGAATGATGATAAGTTATCGACTAATAGAAATTACATTTATTTTCTGTCGATAATAATTTTTATAACTTAACAAAATTTGTTCAAATTTTTTTGTTTAAATCATTATTTATTTTTTAAATAAAAAAATAAGTATATAATTTATTGTTTACATAAAAAATATAATAGAAAAAATTAATTATTTTATAAATGTTTTATTAAAATACAAAGGAATATTCTAGAATAGAAAATACCATATGTTAGATCCATCTACCAATGCCAAGAAGACATTTGGATCGAGTTTTAACCGGCTTTTATCTCATTGGTCAATGTGTATTGCGTGGGGTCATTTTATTGGTGGATCAGTAAAGTCTTTACTATATGAAAGTATCGTGGGTTAGATTATATGACAGTCGGCATAAAACAGCGGATCGTAGTGTTTGAAGTGAATTTGGGAATATTTTGCTTTTTTTCCTGCCATTATTCGAAAACAGTTCACGGCAGCAATGAGAAAAGCGTTAATATTGCTATCGATTCTCTTCTTTCTAACAGGTGAGTTTTAATAAAAAAAACTATAATGTTATGGAAAAAATTCTTTCAAAATGCATATGTTAATTGAGCAAGAACATCAACATATCTTTGTTATATAGGATTTGTTAGAGCAGAGAATTTGATGGAAGAAGATATTGGAACTGTAGAAAATGATTTGAGTGCTAGCCGCGAAGGATCTCGAACGGGTAAAATATTTTGAAATTATTTATTTAATAACAATTGAATGAACCGTTCTTTTATCTTATATTCACATTTATATTAAAAATACTTTTTCATGATTTTGTTTGTAATATATTTTTTAACAAATAAAATTTAATTTAATTTATTAATTTATAATTAATTAAATTAATTTTATAGATAATGAAGTAATTCAAAGAGAAGAGGAAGCAATTAAACTTGATGGATTAAATGTGGCTCAAATTAAAGAACTCAGAGAAAAAGCTGAAAAATTTACTTTTCAGACTGAAGTCAATCGTATTATGAAACTTATTATAAACTCTTTGTATCGTAACAAAGATATTTTTTTGAGAGAATTGATATCTAATGCATCTGATGCATTAGATAAAATCAGATTGCTCTCACTTACTGATAAAAATGTCTTGGATACCAATTCAGAACTAGCAATTAGAATAAAATCTGATAAAGAAAATAAAATATTAAGTATAACTGATTCTGGTATTGGTATGACCAAACATGAATTAATTAACAATCTTGGAACCATTGCTAAATCAGGAACTGCTGAGTTCTTGGGCAAAATGCAAGAAACTTCTAATACTCAAGATTTGAATGATATGATTGGTCAATTTGGAGTTGGTTTCTATTCTGCTTTCTTGGTTTCTCATACAGTAGTAGTTACCTCTAAGCATAATGAAGACAAACAACATATTTGGCAGTCTGATAGTAGCAGTTACAGCATTGTAGAAGATCCTAGGGGAAATACATTAAAGAGAGGAACTACAGTGAGGTAAATACAATTTTTTTTACATTTTATTTTTTATAAAATTTGAAAATTTATAATTATATTTCAATTACAGTTTGCATTTAAAAGATGAAGCATTGGACTTTTTAGAAGAAGATACAATTAAAAATCTTGTAAAGAAATACTCACAATTTATCAATTTCCCCATATATTTATGGAGTAGCAAAGTCATTCAAGTAGATGAAGAAGAGGAAGAAGAAGAGAAACGAATAAAAGAAGATGAAAGTGAAAAAAAAGAGTCTATTGAAGATAAAGTGGATGAGGAGGAGGATGCAAAAGTAGAAGATGTAGAAGAAGAAAAGAAAACAAAGAAGGTTGATAAAACTGTTTGGGACTGGGAATTGTTAAATGATTCTAAACCTATATGGACTTTAAAGCCATCTGAAGTTGAAGATAAAGATTATAATGATTTTTATAAGGTTTTAACAAAAGATACTCAAGATCCTTTAGCAAAAATCCATTTTGTAGCAGAAGGTGAAGTCACCTTCAAATCGCTTCTTTTTATTCCTAAAGTTCAGCCAAGTGATAGTTTTAATCGTTATGGCACTAAAGCAGATAATATTAAATTATATGTCAGAAGAGTTTTCATCACAGATAAATTTACAGATATGATGCCCAACTATTTATCCTTCATTCGTGGTATCGTTGATAGTGATGACTTACCATTAAACGTTTCACGTGAAAACTTACAGCAACATAAACTCATTAAGGTAATCAAGAAGAAATTGATTAGAAAAGTATTAGATATGATCAAAAAGATCCCTAAGGAAGATTATGAAAAATTCTGGAAAGAATACAGTACTAATATTAAATTGGGTGTAATTGAAGATGCTCAAAACAGAGCCAGATTATCCAAACTTTTATTATTTCAATCTTCTACACAAAAAGATTTTACATCATTATCAGATTATGTAACTCGAATGAAATCTAGTCAACAATACATTTATTATATTGCTGGCTCTTCTGAAGAAGAAGTAAAAAAATCTCCATTTGTAGAAAGATTAGATAAAAAGGGTTACGAAGTTCTATATCTCACTGAAGCAGTTGATGAATATGCTATTTCTGCTCTTCCTGAATTTGATGGTAAAAAGTTCCAGAATGTAGCTAAAGAAGGATTTTCGCTTGATGAAGGCGAAAAAGCTAAAGAAAGAATGGAACAATTGAAAACTACTTTTGAACCATTGGTTAAATGGCTGAATGATGTTTTGAAGGATTATATCAGTAAAGCTCAGGTTTCCGAACGTCTTACAGATTCTCCATGTGCTTTGGTTGCTAGTATGTTCGGATGGACAGGAAATATGGAAAGATTAGCTATTTCGAATGCTCATCAAAAGACTGATGATCCCCAGAAAAATTATTATTTGAATCAAAAAAAAACTCTGGAGATCAATCCAAGACATCCACTTATTAGAGAACTTTTACGTAGAGTGGAGGTTGATACTACTGATCAGACAGCAAAAGATATTGCATTGATGATGTTCAGAACGGCCACGCTTCGATCAGGATACATGCTCAGAGAAACTGCCAGTTTTGCGGATAGTGTAGAGCAGTTAATGAGAAAGACTTTAGGCATTTCTTTAGATGAAGTTCCTGAAGAGGAAGAAATACAAGAAGAAGAATCTGGACCAACAGAAAAACAAGATTCTGAAAAAATTATTGATATGGATGCAAATGAAGATGATCAAGATGAAGAAAAACATGATGAATTATAATTGAAAATTGTATTACATTAGACTATAATTTTCTAGTTGTATGGCTATACAATGTATAGTGATTGTCATTGAAGGTGCAACTATTGTTGCAACTATGTACAGAGTAAAAAATAGTTATATCCTTTGATGATGCTTTGCTGTGTCATATTGTTTTTTTTTTATAATAATATTGCAACTATGCATCAAAGGATATGATAATTATGCAAGTATAGAAAAAAATATATCACTCATTAAGTTTGTCATAATACTTGTAGACTCATAAGTTCCATTTTTGGTAAAAAAAATTTATCCATAATTTATTTCGTTTGATCTTCCATCTTTTTATATATGTAAGTAAAGTGAAAGAAATTTCTGACTGAATCTAATAAATATATATAATAAGTTTATGATGGGATTGAATGTTTTTGTATTTATATAAAAAATATTTAAAAAAATATTATTGAAATATCATTAGATTTTTTATATAAAAAAATTATTTATAATTACTTCTTTCTTTTAAAAAATACAATACAAAAAATTCATTAATTGAAAAATTATCATAATATTCTTCATTTTCAAAGGTAAAAATAAAAAATAATTATTTAATATTTTGTTTTAATACGAATGTAATTTAAAGATGGATCTTTATATTTATCGAAATCAATAAACTATTGAGTTTAATAAAATCAAATTTTTATTTTTTATGTATAGAAATTTAATGATTTATCATACTTTATTTTTTATAAAATATATCATATTGAACAGTAAATTTAAAATTATCTGTATTCGATTTTAAATTTATAGAATAATAGTAAATATTATTATGAAATTTTAATCAAAATTATTTTAAATCCATTTTTTTGTTAATTCGTATTTTCAAAACAATGTTAAGTTATTCATTTCCGGCAAATACAATTGATTCTGATAAACGAACCAATAAGAGAATAAATTCCCATGGAACTGGGACAAACAACGTAGATATCCGAGCGCGGCCGAGCGCTCATTTCCGTTTTCGAATCCGACGTCATCTACTCTCAAAGCCCGTGTGTTTTGTGTTTCTTTGGGGCCACGATGATTATCGCTAATTTAATGTAAGTATTATCTTGTTTCATTTTACGATCGTTTAAATTATAATAATTAGAATTCGCATGGTGCCGTTTGTATAAAAAATTGGTCACGAAACCGCGCGAATTCCTTGCGTAAGTTTTACGAACAGAGATCTCGCCATGCCGGTCTATAAAGTCCCTTTTTCTTAAGCATGTTCAATTAATTGAGAAACGATAATAAAAACCATTGCCGGCTATCTTTCATTTTTGTTGTAACAATTGTCTTGAAAAAATCGATTAATTTGACTGAGATATGAAAACAGAACAAGACGGATGGCCACATATAAACAAAATAAATGGCGTCAGCATACTTATATTCTAAATATGACAAATTTCGACTTCTCGAGTATTCTTTGACTAAGAATTTTGATTCTAATATTTTTTTTTTTGACTCGGAATAAATTTAATGCATAATTATAAAAATTTTTCTTGTTATTATTAGAATATATATAATCGTTAAACGTTGTTTGATTTATTTCTTATATTAATATTTTCTATAAAAAATTTTTGATTTAGCAATGTGCAATTTGTCAAATTTTATAAACCGTATTCTCTTTTGAATGATTTATTTTTAGCATTAAAAATATCACAAAGAAAAGAAAAAAGCTTGGTTTATGCAAATAATAGGTAATGTTTGTTTTTCAGATTGAAATTATTGAAACTGAAATTAGATTTTTTCGTATCTTAAAATTATCTAAAATAAAAAGTTAATAAAATCATTCACTTATTTAATAAATTAAGCGAGAGAAAGATAATTGTAAAAATACGTAATAATAAAACAAACTTGATTAGTAATTGGACTAAAAGAATTTTGAACAAAATGGGTATTCAAGATCTGCAAGTTTTTTTGGATAGTAATTATGTACAAGGTGGATCTATACCCGTGGATCTGTTAAAAATAGCACGTACTATTACTCAAAGACAACATAATCGCATTAGTAAAGCACAACAATTGCATTCTGGAAAATTAAGATTAGTTCTTGATGGAGAATGCTGTTTAGATAGGTTATATGGAGGATATTTCTCAGGTATATATGTATATATATATATATATATATGTTTTTATTTTGCATAAATATTATTATATTAAACTAATTTCTTAAAAAAATTATTTTTTATTTAGATTGGGCTTGTGGAGGACAATGGAATAGAATGTTGCAATTTTTAGCTGTTCTCATACAAGCAACAGAAATGTCAGGTTTAGAATTAGCTGTATTCTTTAATGGATGTTTCGAATCTCCAAGACGTGCAGATTGGATTCTAAACCAATTGCAAGTGCGAATTAAAGTAAATAATGTAAGTAATAATATATTAAAATACTTGAAATCTTTAGAATTTATATAATTTTAAATATAAATGATTTTTCAGGTATTAAAACATATTTCAACTAAGGGTACTCCTCCACCAAAAATTTGGTGGACTCCACCAGTTTGTTTAAGAACCAGTCTACGTATGGCTTTACGGCATTTAAACGTTACAGTACTATGTAGTATGGATGATCACCATCAAGAAGTGATCGCATATTGTCGAGAGAATAATTTTAATGGTTTAATTGCTGACGATGCAGAATATGCTGCATTTGATCCTCCACGATATTTTTCATCTGAACAGTTAAAACTCACATATAAAGGCTCTCTTGACACCAAAGAGTATATTCTTCCAGAACTTTTAAAAGCTTTAAACATCCCTTCTGATAGACTATGTTTATTAGCTGCATTACTTGGCAATTATATTTTAACTGAGCATGACTTAGCTGATTTTTATAAAAAATTGAATGTTAATACTAATCTGAACAAAGTAAATGTTGATCATACAATTAAAACCATCGCTAATTTCGTTCGAGATTTACCATCTGTTGAATTGGATGTAGTTTCGCAAAAAGTTTTCGGATCTTTATCAGATCCGAGATGTTCAAAATTGAGGCAATCAGTTCAATACTATATAAATGGAACTAAAGATGGATTTTTGCATTATAAACCAGTGAAACCAAATAGAGGTAAATTCTTGTTTCAATTTAAAATTTGTATATTTATTATCATATTTTAGTTTTAATGAAAAAATTATTTCAGTACACAAATTAGATTCTAAGCAAAGCGTTCAACAACAATCTAATTTATCTGAAACGCCCTCAACTTCAGAAGCTGAATCGAATTTAGAAACATCTAGATTTGCGTCTGAGACTGTAGAAAGCGAACGTGAGAGTTTAAACGCATATAAGCAAGCCACTGCAAATGCGAAGTCCGCACCACAAATTGTGATAGATCCACCGGGTATCCAAGGCCATGGAGATGCTGATAATATTAGGACAGAAGAAGAACAAAATAATGGGCATGCTATTAATGGTACACACAATCTTTTAATTAGTTCATCAAGTTCGAGCAGTAGTTCTTCTGCAACATCTCCATCTCATGCGACGGCTGATTCATCGAAACAAATGGAGAAAACAATGACTATTCCTAGTACAGTACCAGAAGTAATGCGTACCGCATCTGAACGGCATCAGAAAGGTTTAATGTCTCCTCATATTTATCAAATTCTCATTGCTGGAGAAATAAAGCTGCCTGTTCTTCTCGAAGATGAAAATCATCGCGAATTTCCATCGATACATCTTATTTATAGACCTGTTAGACAAATGGTATATGCAATATTATTTAATCTTCATCACAGAATGTATTTAGCTGCTAAAAGTAAAGAGAAAGGAGGTAAGTAAAATTTATTTAGAGATATTTTGAAATTGATATATTTGTTAAATTATTTTCAATTAATAGATAGTGAAAAAATTGAAGTCCCAGATGTTGTAATAAAAGAGTGGGTATGGTCCAAATCAAATCCATATCTTACGCCAGAATCTGTAAAAGCAGAACAAATTGGTTGGGGTGTTCCCACAATACAACGTTTATGGTTTGGGTAAGTATTTTATACAATTATTCTTTTTAAAAAATAAAAAGAATTTTATATTAATTTTTCATTTGCAGCACAGGTATAGATGATAAACGTCGTCGTTTACGTGGATTTCTGACCTGTATGAAATCAGATACACCTCTTATGTTAAATACTTCTTATGTACCACAACATCTTTTAGTCATGGCTTGTGTATTAAGGTAAATTATGATTTTTTTTTTTTAAATGATTTTTTTTTAATAAATTTAAATAAATATATTTTTATTATAGATATATTATGTCGTTTTCGGATAAAATAAAGGTTTTACGTCGTTGGGAATTAGACGCTTTCATTGCACAAGCATTTTCGCCAGAGCTTATGAACGCTCAATATTTACAAGATCTCCAGGTAAGTCGAATAATTTTTATTAAACTAATAATATCAATTCTATGTTTTTATTTTTTTTATTTTTTCGTATAGCTCCCTTTAGTAACTTCACGTGGAGTGCAATTAGCCACTTTATTTATGGCCGGTGTCGAAACTGCTCTCTTAGCTAATGATGCTTGTGGTGCCCCAATCCCATGGTTAATGTGTTGTCCATGGTTATACTTTGATGGAAAACTATTTCATCATACATTAGCTCGAGCTAGGATTGCAAAAAATTTATTAGAACTTTGTGGTGGCCATATAGATCGTATCGTGAAAGTCGAACGGATGAAGAAAGCTATTTTAGAAGGTACCAATGTTATTTTTGCACGAGCACCACCAGTTGGTCCAGGTAAATTGATTTTTTTATTATTGATATTTTATTGATTTTAAAATAATGAATGTATTATAAGTATTTTTATGAGTTTGAATCCTTAATCAATTGTTTCAGTATTTCTCTTCCAATAACCTTAGCATATCATGTACTTGTTTAATGATATGTTTTCGGAATGGAAGGAAAGAAATACAGCTACATTGCTTCGTGAACTTAATGTATTACAATACAGTTTACGAATCTCAAAGCTGTTATAATATTTTTATTATATTTAATTCTTACAATATTTAATTTCTTTTTTTTTTTTTTTTTTGCAATAGGTATTCGCATGTCTGTACCTCAGAATATTCTGACTCCTGGATGTACAATCAATGATGGTTTAATGCGCGGAAGAGGCAGTGGAACTATACCTCAACGTGGATTGATGCGTCGTCCTATACCATCCCGCGGTGGACAATTAGAAATTGCTGGAGTCGTCGTTGGACAATGGGGTCCAAATTATGGACAACCTGGTCGTTTACCTCAGCCTCTACAAGGACATCCTCGCGGACGGCTTCCACCTCAAGTACGTAATTTATATAGTATGTAATAGTAATAAATTCTTTATGAAGAATAATTATTAGGAAAAATAAAATTCTACAAAAAAAAATTAATTTAATTAAATTAACTAAAAACTAATTTAATTAAATTAAATTAGTATAAATAAATTCGAATAACAATAAAAATAATCTATAAATAATAAAAAAAATATAATAATGAAGTAATAGAATAAATAATTTTCAGGAATATATTTTTATAATTAATTCTAAAATAAATTAAAGTTATTCTGTGTAATATTTTAAAAAATAAATGTGTGTGGTTCCAGGTAACTTCAATTGGTGGTCTTAAGTATGGTCTCCCTCGTGGTTTCACTCCTATGGGTCGTCCCACATTTCAAACGCGGGGAAACAATCGTGCGCAAATTGCAGGACGAGGAAAAAAGACACAGATGAAAGTAGGAGAAAATCATTTTTATATTATCCATATTATATATTAAAAAAAAAAAAAAAAAAAAAAAAATTATTTTTCAGGCAACTGGTAAAAAGAAAACTACTGTTAAAAAGAGAAAAGAAAGGGAAAAAAAAAAAGAAAATTATTATACAGAAACAAGGTAAAAAGAAAACTACTGTTAAAAAGAGAAAAGAAAGGGAAAAAAAAAAAGAAAATTATTATACAGAAACAAGGTAAAAAGAAAACTACTGTTAAAAAGAGAAAAGAAAGAAAAAAAAAAAAAAAAAAAAAGAAAATTATTTTTCAGGCAACTGGTAAAAAGAAAACTACTGTTAAAAAGAGTAAAGAAAGTGAAAACAAAAAAGAAACTAGAGGACGGGGTAACAATGTCGATGGAATAACTGACTACAGGTAACTGTAGCTGACTATTTTATTTTATATTTGTATATTAAAAAAATGAATATATTTATGAATATTTTTGTTTTGTTTTGTTTTATTCTTATTACTAGTGATTCAATTCCAAATATGAATGCAACAAAAGACGCACTGCCAGTACCAGGCCAATTTGAGGATGCCATAGAAAACGGCAAAGGGATAGAAAAAGGGCAAGGAGATGCGTCACTGGTTGCTCCAGTCGCCGCTGAAAATTAGGTATTTATACATCACATTTTTATCGACTTTTAAAAATTCCCGGATGTGACTCAAGACTGCAAGAAAAAAAAACTTAGAAAAACAAATGTGTAAACGAGCAATGATACGCCAATAACATTTGAAGGTTTTAACATAATTATTGCATATAAGAGAATTATTTTCAACATATAAAAAAAAGGAAAGGCTTATGATTTTTTCATATAAGTTTGATGCTTTAAAAAGAAAGAAAAGAAAATAAATATTTAAACTAAATAGCCTTGAATTTTCGCACAATAAGCATTAAAAAAAACTTTTCAAATGTTATGCGTAGAATCACTCAACAATATCTAAAGCTCTGATGGGGCCAAACTAATTAAACTAATATAGGCAAAAAAGCATCGTTAATGCGATGTCAAGATATTGTAAAACTACAAGGATATAGACCCATTTTCGACGTACACGATACGATGTCCTCACTGCCAAACGTACCATTCAGTGTGTAGGATAAGAGCGAAAACGAACGTGATTTAAGAAAAAGAAGAAAATAAAAAAACAATAAAATCGTGCTTGTGCTAACACGAGCGTGTTTTTAGACTACTACTACTCCGCTCGGATCACCATAGGATGAACTCGACTGATTAGTGTATGCGTGCGCTAATTTTACTAAGAACAAGAACAAGTCGTCAGCTGCTATAAGTATTTAATTCTTAAGAAGTGTGATTATTTTTTTTACAATGAAAATATATATTTTCCGGTATTATATGAAATGCTCGCATTGATAGTCTCAGTATTCTGATCTTTGTAAACGTCCAACGAAAATCATAACTTTAAGACATCACGGACGAATAAATAAATAAAACATTGATAGATAAATCAATATGAAACAATATACTGTCGATACTTTTATTTCTGTTTTATAGATAATGCAAGGCAGGATACTGAGACATTCAGTAGCAAATGGAGACTGATGCTTTTCATATAGGTAAAATATATATTTATATATGGTTTAGATTAGAGATTCCCAATAGCATATTATATGTAAGTTGTAAATGATTGCTTGTGAGTATGTGTGTAGTGGAATGTTAAGGTATTGTATGAGAGAAGTACATAAAAATGAAAGAAAAATGAAAGATTGTTTTACTTGTGAAAATCGTAATGAAAGAATAAAGAGAGAGAAAGAAAATACCATAAATGCATGGTTGTAAGATCGAATATATAAAGAAATATAAGAAATGTATATAAACGTCGAATGTTAATGCGTGTCGGTTCACGTACACACGATGCATAAAAATATGAATACAATGGAGAATTGAGTGTACGCGCGTGTATGTGGCCCGAATGATATATTTATTTGTTGTTGTGTCGATGAAAAGAGGAATGAATGATTTTTGAACGAATTATAAATTTCCATGTACGATAAGAGATACAATATGTACTCATGGACACGCGGTAGATTTGATGCAAGAGTAATCGGCTTGAATTTTCAAAAAAAAGAAAGACGAGGTTCTCTAAAAGAGTTATTCTTGTGAAAGTCTTTCGATGTCGCTTGGAAAATATGCTGCACTATGCGTTATTCTAATTCAATATCATAAACTGAATCATATATTAATTAACAAAAAATAAGTAGTAATTTGTACCATGGAGAAGATCATCTCTTTTTTATGATTTCATTGAAAGCTTTTTTTTTCTTTTTTTCTATTATTTTTTTTTTTTTTTTTTTTTTTTTTTTTTTTTTTTTTTTTTTTTTTATTTTTTGGGTAAAAATTATATATATTCGTGCCTTTTGTAGCATATTTTCGAAAGAATGTACGATACGTGTCCTTCCTTTAATTGTACATACGAATAGTTACTTTAGAAGTGACAGAGTGAGGTTGGTGTAAATAAAAAAAATCTGGTGATTTCACGCTTTTATTGCGTGAGGAACCGATTCAAAATAGGAGATCATCATGTTAAAAGAAGAAAAAGAAAATACTATTATAATACTATTTATGCGTAGAATAGTCGAAAAGACATTCTATCAAAGATCATTGGAATTCGAAAGATAGATTTCTTTATCATTGAAGGATGATAATACACGTATAACAGAGATACAAAATAGTATGACAGAACATGATTATTTATCAAAAGGGATGAAAATAAAAAGGAAAAAAGTAGATAAAAATGATATACGTCTAAAATGCAGAGATAATTTAAATTGAATAAGAGAGCGAACGAGAGCGAGAGAGAAAGCGATTGTGAGAGAGAAAATCATTTATTGAAATAATATAATGAAAGATAAAGATAAAAATGTTATATTTTTGTAGATTTGTTATTGCGTAAAAAAATGCATTAAGACAATGAGAAACTTTATATAATTTGAGCGACGGTTAAACTGAGCCTGAAAAAATTAAAATGAGTGACTAAGATCATAAAGAGAAAGGATATTGTATAGAGAATATGATAAAGATTTAAAAAAAAAAAAACATAAAAGAAAATGAAAAAGTGCTTTAGAAAAAATGATGGTATGTTGAACGTGTTTGACATCTACAATTTAATAAGAAAATCTTATTAATTCTTTTGTATCTCCGAAGCTCTCAAAGTTCTGAGTTGCTTGCGAACAAACATAAAATCTAAAAAAATAAAAAAATAAACAAAACAAAAAAAAACAAATAAAACTTAAAAATAGGAAAGATATTTAAAAAAAGAAGAAACTAAATGTCAGCTTCAATATGAGCTATACCAACATATGCATATAATAAACAGTTTTTTCAATATGATTCAAAAGAAATAATAAACAATAAAAATATAAAGAAATCAAGTGTCGTGAATGAAACTGTATAGACTAAAAAAAATGAAAAATGAATATTGTTATCATTCGATGATTTTCAATTAATAACATACACTCGCACTATCATTATTTTCCGAGTACAGTATATGATATATAAAATATGCACCAAAGTATATAAAGAAAAAAAAATGATAAGAAAAAAAGATGGCCGTGTATCTTTCTTGAACAATTTAAAATTAAAACAACGCAAATCGCTCATGAATAACTAACCAATGTAATGATAATAATAATAGTAATAATAATAATATTAATAATAAGAATAATGTTAAACTAGAAGCAGAGAGACGTTTCAGATCCGACGGATGAATAATTAAAAGTAAAATGCCACTTTACGCTTTCGTGTAAAGATAGATTTTCTTTCTCAAAAATCAATCATCTTGATATATGCAAACCGAAGAATACAAAATATACAAAAACAAAGTTAAAAAAACGATAAAAAAGACATTTAATGTATATATAGGGTATTAATGTATTTGTGATATTTTTAGAAAATTCATTCTATAGATTAAAACAAATACAAAAGTTTCTATGTAAAAATTTCAGTTATAGTTATATACTTTATATATAAAATTTATTTATATAAAGTTATAAACAATTTAAATTTGCGTTAAATGAAGTGATATGAAGACAAAGTGAAGTTATAGCTATAACGGAGAATTATCTCATTCTCTATTTTCTTAACGTAAACTTAGATTGTTTATAATTTAATAAATAAGCTTCAACTGAAATTTTTATATATTATTTTTTGTATTTATTTTAGCCTTTAAAATTGACGTTCCTAAGATATTTCATAAATATATTAACACCCTGTATATGTATATACACATATAATATGATGGTACTCAACATAATCAGTTGCTGCTGCACTGATATGAGGTAATGCAATAAATATAAGAAATGAAATAATTTAAATGTACTAAATATTGAAGCGAAAACAAAATAAAACCGATATGGAATATAAAAAAGAAAAAATACGAAAAAGGAGGAAAATAAAGAATGAATAAAAGAAAAGAAATAAATACGAAATCCATATTATTGAAAATAATGCAACAGAGCAGAAGTATCATAAAAATCATAAAACATAATATATAATGAAAAAGAAAGAAGTGAAAACTTACCTAAAAATGGTAAATAAATGATCGACATAAAAAGAATAGGTGCGCATCGTGCCTACTTTTTCGCTGTAATATGTATTAAAAAAAATAATAAACATGTAAAAAATAGGGGCCCACGAAACAATTTCAACGATAGAGAATATATCCATGCGAGAAAGTTAAACGAAATGAGCCAACACATAAAACGAATGACCTCTCTTTGTGTATTTAGAAAATAAAAAAAAAAGGAAAATCCTATTTATCAACTCGATTTTCAAACATTGTGTGTCATTGTGCTAAACGAAAAATTAATTATATTTCGAAGTAAAGCACATCTTTAAACTCTTGCTATGTAATAATGATGATGATAATGATGATGATAATGATAATGATGATGGTGATGATTATGATGCTGGAATATTGATAATGATAAATGTTTAATTAGTGAGAAACGGGAACGACAATGTAAATTAAGTAATTATATATATATATATTTTTCTTTTACTTTCTTTCTTTCTTTTTTTTCTTTTT